AAATCAGCCCTTTGGGTCTCACCCAATGCTTTGCAGAGCACCAACACTGCTCTTTGCCAGGAGACCATCATGAGCCATCCCAAGGACACCGAAAGCCCCACTGAGCTGTGGGGCCATGGGAAGGGCCTGGGGAGGTCCCTCTCTGGGACAGGGTCTCGATCTCACCCAGGCAGGTGGGGCACACACCCATGTGCAGGTGCCTGGAGCTGCCACCTGCCCAGTCCCACCAGTTTGGGGCACTGGGGCCCGGCAGAGCAGGGCTTGCTCTGTGTCCTGGCACAGGGTCTGAGCCTCAGGAATGGCCTGGCCTCAGCCTGGGCTGGGCTTTGGCTTCTCCCCAGCAGGAATCAGGGCAAGTCACATCCGTGGAGTGCAGACCGCACTTCGGGTTTTCCTCAAAATTTTCTCTTCCGTGACCCTTGGCCACCAGAGGGAAGCGGGGCTGGGGCTGGGGCTGAACCTGGCCAGGGAGAGCAGGAGCTCCTTATGCTGCCCATCTCACCCCTGCTGGGGTCAGGAGCTTCCTTCAGGCCAGTGGCTGGAGAGTAGAGAAGGCAGCAAAATCTGTCCATAAACTTGGCTTGGATTTCCAGCAACGTTTTGGGGTCGGTTTGCAAAATCCTTGACTTTTCTCTCAGTGAGGTGTGTGGGAAAACACAGAACAGGTGTTGCAGCCCCTCCAACCCCCTGCACACAGCAGATCCTGGGCTGTGCTCCCGTGGGATGGCACCTGCTCCATGCTGGGGCAAAGCAGCTCCACTTTGGGGTACTGAGAGGGCTCTTCACRAGGAGGAGGCAGCTGGAAAGGGACCACAGTCCTTGGGGGAAATGCAGTGTCCTCAGCCATGCAAAGTGCAGAAACTGCAGCAATGAGGCGCTGTGAGGAGCTCCTGAGGAACCAGGGCTGCCTCCCCAGACTAAAACGAGAAGGCTGAGGTGTGGACTGGGAGGGCAAATCCACGGCTGGGAGGGCACAGGGCTRGGCACAGGGACACAGCCTTCACATGGGGCTGCTGCTCTCAGTTCTGGYCACATCCACAGCTCTCCTGCAACATCCCAGGCCCTGGGCTGGGGTGTTCTGGGGACTGCTGGGGGCTGGCAGGTGACCAGTGCCATCCACAGGTGAGGAATGCCACCTCCACGTCAGGAATGCCACCCCATGTCAGGAATGCCATCCCCATGTCAGGAATGGCACCCCATGTCAGGAATGCCATCCCCACATCAGGAATGCCATCCATGGGAAGGGTAGGGACTGGCACAGATCCCTCAGGGGCTCTGCTCAGCCCAGAGCTCCCCCTCAGCTCCACCACATGCTGCTCCCAGACCCAGGATCCCCAAGGATGTGCTGTGCTTTGGCACTGAGGTCCCCAGCAAGGAGGSCCCCAAGATTTCGCAGTTCAGAAAGGAAACATCCCCACACAAAGCCCTGGAAGAGCAAAAGGAGGGGAAATAGGATCCCAGGAGGACCTCCCTTATGGAGGGGGGGAAGGAGAAACCCCAGCAGTGACAGCTGCCCATGRTTTCAGAAGGCAGCAGAGCCACCAGATGTGAGGTCTGGAGGCAATTTCAAGACAACAGAGTCATCTGCTGATTGTCTGCTTCCAACAATGGTTGAAAAAAATGGGAGAAACCCGATAGCACTCAGTACATCCATCACATGCGAGCACATCTGTGATGGATTAGGGAAGGAGCAGGGGCAAAGCAGGGACTGGAATTGCATTAGCCCTCCCAAGAGCTGCAGATCCTCCCAGCACTCCCAAACAAGCCCCAGGCACTGGCAGCGAGTGAAATCCTTCATTAGCCAAGAGTGGGCAAAAGTGTGACGGAGCAATGGGCTCTGCCAGGAAGCGCCGGAAAAATGAGCGGGGTCTGGGAATTGTGGTGAGAGGGGTGGTTCTGCCAGGAAATAAAAGGGGGAATAAATCCTCTCTGGTGGAAATGCAAAGCTAAAAGGTGGCTGATGGCTCTGCAGCAGACTGACATTAATGCTCTGCACAAGGAGGGGAAGGTGCTCCGCAGAGCTGCTGCCCTGGGATGCAGGGGCAGGATGGCAGCACACAGRGGAGCAGGCAATGGGATAATAAAKCCTAAAGGATGGGATAGGACAGCCTGTTTTACRCTGCTGAGCTCTGGGATTATTCTGGAGAATAAGGCAAATTTCCACTACAAAGCCAAATTTAAATTGTGCGGTTGCTTGATCATAAAACCTCCCCATGATGGATGTTAGGAAGGGAAAGACAAGAAATGGCAGGATGAAATGTCAGGAAGAGTCTGATTTGCAGGGGAAGAGRGGAATCAGAAGCCAGCAATGCTCTGAGCAGGGCAGCTGGTGGGCAGGAGTTACTCAGGCTCTGGGCACCTCCCTGCCAAGCTGCTGCTGTGGTTTTTGGGGGCCCAGGCTGATCCCAGGGTAGGTGGGGGCAGAGCAAAGATTTTGGCCTCTGCAGAGCCTCGGTGTCTCCTTAGGACATCTCTGGACATCACTGCCACTATCTGGGGTTTGTCTCTGGAGCCTGTGGCTGCCTGGAGCCACCGGTTCTGGGTCACCTGCACTGTTGGCAGGGTGGTGGCCACCACAGGGACATCTCGTGGTGCCTCGTGCTCCCTAAAGCCAGGAGTCAGCAGGATCCAGTGCAGCTGTCCAGCTGGCAGAGATGRGATTGGAGCTCAAAAAGGGGAGAAACAGAAACCAGAACTTGCTGCTGAAGCCAAAGTTCCCTTGATCATCCCTTATCATCTCTGACCAAGGGCTGGAGAAGACAAATCACATATTTAGGGAACAGAGCTGGGGAAGGGTCTGGAGCCCCAGGAGAGGCTGAGGGAGCTGGAAAGGGGCTCAGCCTGGAGCAAAGGAGGCTCCGGGGGGACCTTGTGGCTCTGCACAACTCCTGACAGGAGGGGACAGCCGGGGGGTCGGGCTCTGCTCCAGGGAACAGGGACAGGAGGAGAGGGAACGGCCTCAGGCTGAGCCAGGGCAGGGCCAGGGGGGACATCAGGAGGAATTTCCCCATGGAAAGGGTGCTCAGGCCTTGGCAGGGGCTGCCCAGGGAGGTTTGGAGTGCCCATCCCTGGAGGTGTCCCAGGAAAGGCTGGAGGTGGCACTGAATGATCTGGGCTGGGGATGGGGCACAGGATGGATTCAGTGGCCTGGAAGGTCTCTTCCAACCTAAAGAATTCTGGAATTCTGTGATTCTRTATCAGAAACGTGTCCCTTCCCCTGCCCCTGTTTCTCCTGTTTCACAGCAGAGAACTCCACACAGGAGGGTTACAAATCCTGACCRCTACTCTTGGCTTTTGCTTTGTGCTTCTTTATTCAAGTCTGGCAAACCCGAAACATCCCCAAAGATGTCAATACCAGCAGATCTGCAACAGTGCCTGTGCTGGGGGAAYAATGATAAAATCACATCAGTCTCTTCTCAGAGTAGCCACAAAGCTTGGCAGGGGCACAGGTGAAGGAGTGAGGGAGGTGCTGGCTGGCACAGAGCCCTCAGCATCCCTGGGTGGGCACACAGCCCAGCTCTGGGCAGGTTTCCTCCAGCCCCTGGAGCTGTGCCAGCCTTGCAGCCTCAGCGGGGCTGCCCTGACAGGGAACTCGCTGCCACATGGACCAGCAGTACCGGGAAAAGAGCTGGAGCTGCCGGGCTCTGGGGTCACCTCCCTTGCACCTGCAGAGGCACAGGCCAGCCCTGGCACCACCAGAGAGCCATCCCTGCTGGGAACACACAGAGTGGGGGTTGAGTAACCTGCTCTGGGTCAGAGCTGGGGTGGAGCTCAGGGAGAGCTGTGCTCAGTGGGCACAGAGCCCCGGTGGTGCTGCCAATTTAGTTATGGCACAGACACGGTTAAGGGGGTAAAAGGGTTTTATTTTGGTATTTAATGGGATCTTAGCTGCATAACTTAGTAGAATGGAAGAAACACTAGAAAATGTATTTTGTGTGTAGTATGGATATAAGTTTTATAGATTTTGTAAATTAGCATATTTATTTCAATTTTTTAAATAAGAACCTTCAATAATATTTTTTTTATTTTAAAGAATTTTTTAAATGAGGTTAGAGTTTAATTTATACAATATGTTTTAGAGAGGAGATTTCAATTAAGGTTGCAGTTTTAGGTTTAAGATAGCACAGCGTACATTGACTTTTTATTGAGGATGTTTGGTGTTTTTGTTTAGTAGAATTTTTAAATTAAGTTAGAATATTAGGCTACAAGAACTGCAAGCATGTAGGTTAAGGGTATAAGGGATACATAAAGGATATAGAAAAGGGGTACCTGCACAGGTGGGGTGAAGTTCCCAGCAGCAGAACAGCCCTTTCAGCAGGAGAATTCCCCAGTGCAGACCCCTGTCCCAGTGTCCTCAGAAGACCCCTGTCCCAGTGTCCTCAGAAGACCCCTGAGGAAGCAGTGGATAACAAAATGCTCATCCGTTCCCATTTATAAGAAGGGTTTCTCTGTGCTAAAAGAATTTCCTTTCTGGAAAAAGGTGTTTTCTCCATGAGCTGATGAAGAATTAATGTGCAAGAACCCACACTGCTGACCCTGCTGTGGTAAGATCATAAAAGCCCTGCTCTTAACCCTAAATCTGACCCTAAATCCAACCAGAACCTGAACACTAACCCTAACTAAGCCCTAACTGCTGACCCTGCTATGGCAGGGCACAGGGTTTGGCACTGTGCTCTTAACCCTAAATCCAACCACAACCTGAAGACCTCTGGGTTTGGCTCTGCACAGGCCAAAATCTTTGCTCTGTTCCTACCTGCACCGCCTGCCCTGGGATCAGCCTGGCCCCACAAAAACCCCAGCAGCTGCAGCTTGGCAAGGAGGAGCCCTGGRAATCCAGGATTTCAGGAGTCCCACTGTCCATGGGGAAATCCTCGGATATGCTCTGCCCAGCCTGCCTGCAGGGCCCCATTGCCTGTTCCAGTATTTCATGGGTGTGATGCTCTTCCTTCCCTGCAGTGACCCCCAAAACCTTTTCCACCTCTGTTTGGGCTGCACTCACCGGGACCAAACGGAAGCACCCTCCATCCTCCATCACTTGCTTTCTCTTTTGTTCCTCCCAGGTGTCCCCCTCCAATCCCATCACCATGGAAATCCCYCCCAAAAGTCCTGATGGGAGCGAGAAGTCCCCGCAGTCCAAGGAGCTGATCACCAGTAACACAACCAGCACCCTGTGCATGAGCTCCCGCAGCGAGTCCGTGTGGACCAGCACCTCCAGGGGCAAGTGGGACATTTACCGCAAGCCCATCATCGTSGTGTCCGTGGGAGCAGCCATTTTCCTCTTTGGGATGATCATCACCAGCCTGCCCTGCTTCCTGACCGAGTACAAAGACGTTTATAAAATGTGTGGGCCAGCTTTCCTGTCCCTGGGGCTGATGCTCCTGGTCTGTGGCCTGGTCTGGATCCCCATCATCCGCAAGAAGCAGAAGCAGAGGCAGAAGTCCCAGTTCCTACAGAGCCTCAAGTCCTTCTTCTTCAACCGCTGAGGTCAGCCAGGACCTTCCCCAGAGGGTTCCACTCCTCTCCACCAACCTGTGCTGATCACCATGAAAACAAACATGTTCTTGTACTCCCTAGAGGATTTCATCCCAGTCAGCCTCTTCCCTACATGGTCTCAGGTGTGAAAACGAACTTTGTATTTCATCCAAGTCATCCCAGGAAAAAAAGAGCAGGATTTTTCAACTGAGCCCAGCAAGGCAGATCCAAGCTCTCTGCATCGCCTTCCTGTCCAAAGAGTGACCCAAGAGCACCA